TCGTAGTGATTAATTCAAACGTCTTCTGACCAGCGCTCTACCAGGTCCTTTTTTCAAGGTCCTGTCCTAACCATCTCTCCCGTAGTAGTTCGTTCCGTCTCTTCGCGATCCACTTACTTGAGTAAGCAGCTCCAGCTCTCCGATGGCTGGACCAGGAGGTCGTCTAAGTGACCCGTTGCTTCTTTAAACTGCTAATGAGGCTCATTTCATGCTGTTTAACATACGATCAGATAAACCACGTCCATCCGAGCTTTGCGAACCTTGCCAGCCTAAAACTGCCTGGCTTATAAATAATAATATATGCATCAACCTACGCTTATAATAGAATTCGTTGTTAACCAAGAAGTAATAGCTAGAAAATTGAGTTCGTTTAATTAATACAAAAATAATACAATATTGAAGTTTTAATTTACATTTATTGTAAATTGATTAGAAGAACCGTAGCTTAGGCCGTCGCTGCCTAAAGAAGGCATAAAATCATGTCTTGGTGTGAACTTAAAAACAACACAAAACAGATAAATGTAACTCGAAGTTATATCTACATTTCCAGTTTTGGTAAAACACCAATTAAAAAAAAAAAGCGTATCCAATAATAATAATAATTCGAGACGTTATAAAAAAAAAGTCGAATAACTCTCTTTTTAGAGCCGATAATGAAATAGATGGTACAAAGCCATATGTGCAGTAATAAACCAATCAAGATATTGATAGAAACAAAAAGTATGTGCGCTATATTTGATACGAACAGAAGTATCAAATATAGCGCAAATATAGTTTATTCAAAATCACAGCGAAGTATAGCGCATCTATTTGTAGCAAAAATGAGATAGATAGATAGCTAACATAGTCGGATCCAGCAGATTTCTCAATGAAAGTTATCTACTGTTGGAGCAGGTTACTACTGGTAACCTTCATATGTCGCTCTATTAGGCAGACAACAGTTCCAGATAAAATTATATACAAATGTTATTAACTATTAAGATAATTTTAAAGATGCGAATTAGACGCGTGCAAAGATGAGGCTTAAGCATCGCAGATTCCTATTTGACGGCAGACAAAGCTAAGAATCTTTCAGCGAATGTTCTATTCGGTACGTTTAAATACTATGATGCCAAAAGCACGGTGGACTGAACAGTCAGCACGAGCAACAATCGTAACCTCTTAGAGAAGCCCTATTAATGATTTTTTTTTCCTGGTTATACTGCGTTTTTGACTGATGAACCTGATTTAAAAGCCGAATTGGGTTCTCTAACTCAACAAGCGTTCGATGGAGATTTTGTAAAGCAGATGAGCGAAAAGTCATTGCAAACTAATTGTCTCGGTGCTGTAGAAGTTAGCCTATTTTTATTTGAAGGCCTCAATTCCCAACCCCAACGGGTCCCCCATGACCACTCAATGTGAATATCCTGCAGTTTAATAAATCTATCTGCGCATTTATGGGCAGTCTTCTATGTGCCAGTTTACTTGCTAACAAAATCTTGGCGAATGCTTAAAGGTGAAAATGGCTTAGTCTTTAAATCGGATAACTGTTTGTTCCCTTTGATACATGTCATGGCCAGGCGGTCAACTAGGCCCTAAAAATACACACCTGTGTTTGCAATAAGTGATAAAATATTAATGAGTATTCTGTATAAATAAAACAGTACAGACAATGCCTAACGTTTAGTAGTCTGAAATAGTTAGTTAATTATAGTGTGGGGATTTTCGATAACGTATGGAAGCAACCAATTTGGCTATGTTGAAAGCGCGCCTATTTTTAAAAAAGGAAGGTCGAATCTAGAGATTTAAAACGGAGGTTGACCTAGTTTCGCAGCTACGACCAGATTTTAAGCTGCCACAAAAAGATGCTGTTACAGTGAAAGTAGACTGGGGGTGTTTAACGAGAACAGTGGGCGTTTTGGTAATGCTGAGCACAAGCCACATGGAATGGTAGACAGCAAACGCAAAGAGGGTAGCTTCCCAGTGCGAGGTCTTTATTGATACATCCCATAATTTTGGTGGTCGAAGATTTTAGCTATATCGAGGAATATTTCAATCGTTGCGGTGACACCAACAACATGTGTTTTATTACTGTCGAACACAGCTCGATAAGTTTACTAAGTTAGACCTGGCGAAGAGCAAAATACTCAAAACGGAGCTAAATTTAAACATTTTCACGAGAAAGGTAGCAATGCTTATGTGCCTCTAGGAGCCGGGATTACTTTTTGGGCCTTTACCTCTATGAACTGGAGTTAGTGTAGTTTAAATGCAGCAAATATTGTACAGATGGGAATGAAAGGATAGATAAAGGCCATGGAAACAATCAGAAATTGTCTATTGAACTTGTTGACTTTCGGGATCTCGCTACAGTCCTTCCTTTACAGCTGTCACAAAGTTTAACGATTAGAGCATGACAAGGAAGTCAGACTGGGAAAACGGGACAACAGCTGAAAGATAAGTACGGGGAGAAAGGATAGCAAGTACTCTCGTCTCGGTTAGACAAGTGTTTACTACTAAGTTGATAGTCGAAAGAGATGGGTGGGTCATGGCGTTGTCCACTGAAGAAGTAATTGCTCAACTGGCAGTTGAAGAGCTCCGAGCCACTTCGAGCTCGCTGCGTAGAAATATTGCCGAACTTTCTCTTTATAACAACGGCAGATTTTGAGATCTTCGAAGCTTCTTAACAGTCTCTAAGGGGATCTGCTGCTCATCCAGAGAAAATCACAAGATGTCAACAGACTCGTCCGGGTCGGTAGCAGAAAATAATCGCTCCTTGTAATGGTTGGAAATTGATGGAATTTCGTATAGTTATTGGCGTTTAATACCCTGCAGCGACTGAGCAGTGGTACGAAGAGCGGTCAGAAGGGATTTTGTGTTAACGTGACTTCAGCGGGAAGAGGGCAGTGGTCCAAAAGGCTAAAAGTATGAAAAACTTGACCATCAAGAGTAGGTCTGAATCAGCAACCCAGAAACGAGAAAGACAAGTGCCAGTGTGAGGTCTAGTGAACGTATCTTTAAGGTGTAAGAACTCAGACGTGCAAAATGACTCTCATCGCTAGTATGTTTTCGTCGGCAGTAGACACGTTAACTTACATCGAATTTCATAGAAGTAAAGTTACTGATTAAGTGAGATATTGAAGCAGCCTCAATAAGACGCCAGTATTGAAATAAGTTCAATGGAGAATCTACAGTGACATGTTGGTTACGATATGCATTTTAAAATGTCCCTATTTTACGATTGTAATTCTTAAACAGCACCAAAGGAAAGTACTCTCTCGAGAGGCGCTTTCAACGGCCAGCCATGATAATGTTTAAGCTAAGCAGAAATGCCTGTCACCTGAATATCGCGTCGTTTACGCGTTTCAGTAGGAATCTGAGTAAATTCAGATTACGCAGTAGTGAGCAACTGAAGACCACTACGTATGTAAATATTTGTTCTCTTTCCCTAGTTTTAAGCACAGTCTGAGTGTATAAGATTAGATTCGACAACACCACAGAATGAGTGCATGTGATTGGTTAAGTACGTCTACATAACTCAAGATACTATTTATGATACAACGCATCAAGCCTTTGAATATAAACAGAATTTCAGAGAGGAGTTTCAGTTGTTTACCTTTTAGTAATAACTTTAGTTCCCTTCGTTACTTCTTAACTATTATTAGTAACACCGAAAGGAACAATGCTACACAGATCTCAGTTTTTAATTTCTACGCCCGTATAAAAACAGTCACCTACTTATGTTCCTGTTAGCGGTGCAAAGTTTACATAGAGGTGAAATGTATAAAGTTGAGGTACCCAGATTTTCCCCTCAGAATGATGTGCTCAACTTAGCCTGTAAAATAGCTAAGACTTTTTTGATGTACTGTACTCAATAAGTAAAAAAGAACAAAGAAAGATGTAACAAATGGCAGTGTAATATAAATAACGTTCATGCCAAAAGCATGCCTTTACGTCAGACAGAAGACCTCAGAAATCATATACATTATTGGTTATTTAAAGCTGTTGCCAGCATTTGTGCGTCAACTTTATGTTCAATTTGACCGAAAGGGCTCGGGGGTTCATCAGAATATCAACGACTTATAGGATCCTTTGAAAATTAATTAGCTTCTACACTGGATCTTTTTGGACCGCTAGATTTTTAGGACTCTTGGCCGACTATAAGCCTAAAATCTAAATCTGTTTTGTCTCTAGCGTTTTCGACCGGAACTCTATTGAATAATATATGCGCGGTAATATCGCTGGGCTCATAGTTACTATCAAAAAATTGTATGTAAAAATGGGGAAAATGCTTTCAAACTATTTGTAAGCCGTCTAGACCAGGTCGTTGAATTGATGCCGTAATCGAAGCCCGTGGCGGTTGTATTGAATGTACCGGTGAAGCCTGTTCCTCTCAGCACTCGCAAAACGTTTCGTCTGAATATCGGCTTCCATCCAAATGTAGCTTATGGACAAGCGAATAAGAAATTTCACCGCGACAGGACGCGATGCGTTCCGGTTACCGCAACAGGGCTAAGCTCGTAAGCCCCTTCGAGATGAACATTTGTAGCAGAGTTGCGCGATTCTGCACGACCGCCGAAGGGATTTTAGGAAACCACTCTAAAACGAGGAGTTCGTAGAGCCGACATAGATTTACCTGCAAACGAAATAGTATTTATACTAGTGCTAAGTTCTTAAATATGTCTTCTCTATGCCCTCATGTGGCAAGTGACGTTTCATATGTAAAACTGCGGTTCTCATCACATGCGTCATTTAAACACCGTCAATTTAGTCCACAACTAACGCAAACGAAATCGCTATATCACCAGGCATCTTTTGCGGAGCCAAATCGGGTTGACGAAAACTGGAGAAAGCTTTGGAGGGAATAATCAGCTATCTGGATGGAACGGTCTAAATGCGGCCTACTTTCATTTAACGCTTCTCATCAAGGAAGAAGTATGTAACCTATTTCCTTCTATGCATTTGGCACTATCTAATTAAAAACACAACTGTTTGGTGTGCATCACATTTATAAATATATAACTTTTTTTTTTTTATTCAATCCGCTCTCATAGTTTAGTTAGCCATCTTTCCTTTTGACCAGCTTCACTTTCTCTTTCCTAGTCACTATCCTGTTTACTTTTCTGTCTTTCATCCGTAATTAATATCTGTACTCTGTATTAATAAATAGAATTTACACAGGCGATATTTACACAGAATGTACAATGTTGTTGTGTCTCATAGAATAATAATCATTGTCGCTATATTCTTTATAATCATTACGCTAGTACTGTCATTTCATTCTCGTATGAACATTTGGCGCTGTCAAGACATCATCCGCTGTCCGTATCTGAAATCCAAAGTCTTTGAGGCTGCTTTAAAATTTTTTCCTATCATACTTTCTCTTTCTCCCTCTCTCTCCTCCAATTATTTGCTACTCCGCGCTCGCTAGGGCATCCTGAGGTGTTCTCCATCTGTGTCCCCAATATTTCTTATTTTTCATGTTTCATTTTTGGCATTGGGGCCGATTGGGGCACAGTTCTCGAATATGACTTCAAGCAAGAAAGAGAGAGAGGGAGAAGGGGAGGAGAGATACGGCGGCCGACACAACGCAATCTCGCGTGGTACACCTTTTCTCTTCTTCGCTGTGTTTCGTTCTACAGCAACCCTCGGGTTGTTCCCGACAGTTCTAGCGACTTTCCTAATCATTTCCTCTGACAGCATGTCTAAGACGGATCCATTCCTTCTGCTTTTGCTATTCATATTATTCCTTGTCTTTGCTGTTGTTGTTTTACTGCTGCTGCTGCTGCTGCTGCAGCTGCAAAGTGTACTGGTGCAGCATCAGCTCTTTGTAATCGTCGACCTTCGTCTGTCTTTTTCATATCTCTTGACTTAGCCTCGGCGACGGGCAATCCCGAACACACACAAACTACGACACAGAGTCAGCTGTGTTTTTTGTGTTGCTTCAAGTGTATATAGTTTGGTTGTATACATCTGAACTTCTATTTCTCTTACGAAACGTGGGGCGCGACACGCCTTTCAATTTTTCTCCGCTAAAGAGGAATATATCTTTTTCTCGCTTAGGCGTTTTACCGTGCAATGTCGTCAGGGTCCTGTTCTTTTTTCGCTGTTCCGGTATTTATAGTTACAACACTATCTGTACGCGTTGGTATTTGCCAAATATTATAGCCATTTATACGTAGTACCATTCATCAGTACGGGCCCATTATTGTGGTTGTCACGTCACATATCTCGCAACGTATGTTACGCAATTTAAAAACAGGGATCATAATCATTTGTTAAACTCATTTTGATAATCATCAACAGAAGCGTTGCACTTCCTTGAGTCCCCTCCTTGTTTGTCATATTCTTCTTAAGGATTTGCTCCCGAGAAATACTTGCATTTTCATTCGACATATTCTATCTTCTACATCGGGTTACCTACATATCGAGTGTTCGTCCCGTATTCTTAACGTTACTTGTGTTTGAGATAAGCGCATGTAGGTGACTGTTTTACGTTTTCGCGTGCTGCGTGAGTAACTGATGCGGAAATCTGAATAAAACTTGCAAAAGGTCCCATAAAACATGTTGCATTTGATCAAGTTAATAGTACAGGGAACTTGGTGAGCACAGATAGTCCGGCCGGAGTTGATTCTATCGGCTAGCGTTGCACAGAGCGATAACCTGAGCTCCTGCTAAATGATTTGTGTGTTCAACACCTGGTAGGACAGGTAAAAACATTACCGTACGCTGATGATCATCCTTGGAAGGAGTCGGCCTTATGTCTAGGAAGGTTTCGCCAGCCTGCTAGGTAAAGTAGATAAAGCTGGATTCTTAACCAACATGATGAACTTCCGCCGTAGAGGCACCATGTTGCTTTCGCCATGCTCCATATAAACGTAGGAGTGCATCGATAACCTCAAATACCTGAGGGTGATCTTGTCCATGAATAGCTGAATTTTGCAAAATACATCACGGTCAGAGTTCGGTAGACGATGGTAACGAGCGTCAAAATACGTAAGTCCTCGACACCTTTTTGGTTTACATTGCTGGCATTGTTCGAAATAGAAGTGGCCCTGATTGCTTTCTAGAGAATCCACGTTGTTTGAAAACATCTTCCACAGAAAAAGCTTGAAAGACTTAGCCGGGTCAAGCCTACTTTTTCCGTTGAACAAATACGTGCGCCGTCTAGGTGGCACACCAATATTTACGGAGGATCTGAGAGGTAGATTCAAGCTTCTTATAAGCCCTGCCTATTCGGGGTTCATCAGCATGAGGGAGAGACAAATGGCGGAGATCAATACTGACTTTCATAATACGGAAATTACAACTAATGAAGCCTGGAAAGGACCGGACAGAACGAATTCGCACACAGTTACACGTTTTGCAGTACATAGGTTTCGTCACATATATGAGACAGTGTATTTTTATTTATTAGGGGCAATCGTGTATCTGCACAAGATATTGTGCGTTACGCCGCAGCTGCCATGCGGCGTCACGCACCACTGTACCCTCGCTGAGCAACTAATTGGACAGAGCGATCTTAGAAATTAAAATTTTGAGCTCAGACGTTTGTGCAATGCAACTGTATATCTTTTAAGCAGAAATGAACATCATATATACGTAATTCTTAGACAATTTATGTAGGTGTATCTACATACCTGCCTGTTATGCCAGCGCACACACGTAGGTATGTCGAATTCTGTAGAATAAATGACTGCGTTCAATCGGTCATCATTGCATAACAATAACACATTTTTTTCTACTAAAAAGCGACCGGTACCACTTTGACAACTGCTATTCGCAGACTGTTAGATTAAGCCCATTACGGCTGACAGCACGCGTGGCTCGAATCATGGCTATATTAGTTGCACACACATGTACCTGCATATGTGTATCGTGCATGTTTGTGTTTCGCTGCTCGTTCTCTACCATAGTTATACCATCATCATAGACTTATTTATATTCTTTGTAATTAATTAATTATAATGATAGTAGACATTTGGCCTAACTGTTGACTAGTTAACACCAGTGCTTCTCTGGAGGTTCCAGCTCACGGTGTGCTTGCCTACTGCAGGACTACCTGTGTGACGTCCTAGTCATGGACGCCACTCAAGCGATACCTACATTCAGGCAGACCGCACGGAAAAGCATCAAAACAAAACACGTCTGGAGGCCTGTTTCTAATGTGCGGTTATCCTTTTTGTAACAGACACGCTAATTCTTCATTTTTTTTTTTATTTTTAGCGGTAGCTGACGTGCGTCACAAATCGAGGCTGTAAAAGCTGCTCTGTGTTGGGTTCAAGTCCTGATTTGTTGCGAAGTAACGTTTGTGTGACCTGTAGATGGCGTTGCACGTACTCGGCATCGGGGTGTAACGATATCACGCGACGGAAACATCTCTCAGCGCGATTAAGTTCTCCTCGCTCCACGTACACTACGCATAAATTGTGCGCACCTTTTACGTTGTTTGGGTCTACCGAAAGAATCTTTTCGTAGCACTGCAAATGAAGCAGCAAGAAAAAAAGCGACTTATACACTGACTATTTAAGGTAAGTATCCGGTGAAACCTAAACTAATGACAGAAATACTTCACGTAGACAAATACGTCATCTAGGTATTTTATTGCCTTGTAGATACTTCCAGGTATGTTTTGGGATACTCATATCTTACGATATGATATGAGTATTTACGAGTTCGACAGGGTGCATTGTCTCAATGAGGCTAAAGTTTGGCGGCCATTTTATATGTAGCGACCATGCGTTCATCTGTTAAGCCTAAAAAACTGGTTGTCTTTAAGACTTCTCAGAATTATAGTGGAAAACAATGCGTCAATCAGTATCTTTACGCTGGGCGATGAATGAAATTGAAAATTCTTTTTTTATACTAAACATCTATGGTCTATATTATTGCCCGTTTATATACAGGACTTTAAGTACCTTAGGCAAATTTCTATTTAGCAAACTGGAAGATAAACCTTATAAACCCTACAGACCTTATATAGTAAGGTTCAGATTTAAGGATTTCAAAAATTCATCAAGATGGTTCAAAAGGCTGTTTTTATAATATCGGATTTTTGATCGCATCTTTTAGACCTTTTGATAATTTACGTTTTTCGAAATACTCGCTGCTATCAGTCCAAAATTTCAAACCACTGAAATTCTTTTGCATGTAAGTTATTTTTTTTGAGTGCGTTTAAACTTACCGATATTACTTGACGTACGATTAACATTAGAAAGAAGACGTATTTTGAAAATGATCAATGAATGATTTAAGTCCCGAATAGAAAATGTCTTAGCAGTAAATGGTGATTATATTGAATAAACATGACCGCTAGGAATGATATTTTCAGCATATGCCAAACATTTCGTTGAATTATATATTTTCATTTAGACGGATAACTCTATAAGTTGAGCTCTGCTTAGCCGTAGACTGGCCTATAACCTGGGTGTCGTGTCTGAGGTTGATTGAATTATTCCATATCATGTTCTCGAGGATCTTCATTATGATAGGTTAATAGATAAATGCGAGAGTAGAGCGATTAGCGTCGTCCTTTTCGGTATGAAGACCGAACGATCGACACGTGCAAAATGTTGGGATAAAAGCTTTTTAAAAAACTACACTAACGTCGCTTCTTCAATTCTG